TATATATATATATATATATGTGTATGTATCTCACAGAAGTGAGAACACCCCTCACATTTTTTGTATATATTTTATTTTTTTCATGTGACAATACTGAAGAAATTACTTTGCTACAATGTAAAGTAGTGAGTGTACAGCTTGTATTACGGTGTAAAATTTTTCTGTCCCCATTAACACAGCCATTAATGTCTAAACCCCTGGCAACAAAAGTGAGTACACCCCTAAGTGAAAATGTCCAAATTGGGCCCAAAGTGTCAATATTTTGTGTGGCCACCATTGTTTTTCCAGCACTGCCTTAACCCTCTTGGGCATTGAGTTCACCAGAGCTGACTTACAGCATTCAGAGTTTGTGAAAGAACCCCAAAACCATCCATTTTCTGAAACACATGACCAGTAGAATAAAAGGAAGATGCTACAGATTTTTAAGACCGTGCAAGATCTGCAAATGATTTATCAAAACAATATTTTCACAAAAAATACACTAAAATCATTAATAGATAAAAACACAGCACATTTTACAAAATTCCTGCTAAATTCCTACTAAATATAAAAGCTTAACCTGTGTTGAGTAAATAAATATTTAAAAATGTTAAATTGCGCCCTTTTGCAAAATGGTTTAAAATCTACTGATTAAGACCATGCAATATTTGAGTAAATGTTTATCAAATCTTTATTTTCACTAAAAATATGAAGTGGTGCTGTGCTACTTAATCATAAAGTGAATTATTAATCATCCTAAAAAACATAAATAATGTGCAATGTGAACAACCCATATAGTCAATGCTAAACCAACGGGGGGGTGTATGTGTATGTATGTGTGTGTATATAATATATATATAATATAATATATATACATACATACATACATACATACATACATACATACATACATACATATGCACCATCGCCAGGTCCTGTGGAGCCTAGTTGAAGTTCCGCTGTGCTATCTTCTCCTGAAAGACCAGGGCAATAGGGCAATCTGAGCCACTGTGTTTTGTGGGAAAGATCCCCATCTTTTGGATCCACCAGTCCTTGAACAAGAGTGGGTGGAACCTGAACTTGAAGATAAAAATGTGGTAGAGGATCTTGAAGAGGGTCAGGCAATTGATTCTCTGTCAGAGGAGTTACAGCCTGATGAGAAGTGGGGGGTTTCTGCTTCTCAACCACAGAGGTTATTAGTTAAGACCCTCACTGATATGGTCTGGTCAGGTTTCAAGTTATCCCCAGTAGAGGCATCTGAGGTCTCTTTATTCCTCTTTGGGCTCATTAAAACCATCTCAATGTATTGAGGCGTTTTCCTGTGCATCCTCTTTTGAAGCAAGTTCTATGTTGACTGGGAGCATCCAGACAGTTTTTGTTCTAGGGGGTTTTTTTAAGGGGGTCTAGGGGAAAATTCCAGGGCCAGAAGAAACCCTGGGTGCAGAAAGCCCAACAGACCAGATTCTAAGTCTGCTTCATTATGAAGGGGTGCCCCCACTTGTGTGGGTGGGGGGAAGACACTTGTGTTTTATTTTCGGAGATCTGAGAAGATCTGATCCAGGACAAGTGAGTCACTGCTACAGTTGCTCAGGAGTACACTGGAGTTTTGAAGAATTCCTCCTCCCCTATCCTGAAGGTCCAGTGTATCCACAAATCCATTGAGAAGGAAATCTTTGTTTCAGGCACTCGACGGCTGTTTGTCCCAGGGTGTGATTGTGGTGGTTCCAGCAGACGAAAGATTCCAGGGATTTTATTTCAAACTTATTCACAGTTCCAAAGCCAAATGGGGATGTAAGGCCTATTCTAGACTTAAAGGGGGCTGAACTGGTTCCTAAAGATTCATTCATTTCGAATGGATGTAGTCAGTCTGGTCAGTAGTCACATCTTTACAAGAGGGAGACTTTCTAGTGTCCATAGACCTCAAGGACGCATACCTGCATGTGCCAATATTTCCAACTCCTCAAAGGTTTCTGCGGTTTGCAATAGAAACTCGACATATTCAGTTTGTGGCACTACCTTTTGGGCTAGGGCACGGCTCCTCAAGAGTTTGCAAAGATTCTGGCTCCAGTTCGTGGGCTATTCAGAATTCAGGGGATAATGATTTTGAGCTGTCTGGACGATCTACTGCTCAGGTGTCAGTCTGGACCTAGCCTGAAATAAATAATCGGGCCCTTGTGATTCATACTGTGAACCGCTTGGGCTGGGTGCTCAACTTCGAGAAGTCTGCCCTGGAGCCAGTACAGAGTCGGAGTATTCGGGATTGGTCCTAGACACACTGTTCAGATAAAGGTATTTTTGTCCTGTATGTGCAGTTCCACTCAAGGCCTTTGCAGAGGAATATTCTGTCGGCATGAAACAAAAAGATTCCAGTGCTGGATTACCGCATTCCTTTGTCCCTCCGGGCACTGCAAAGCTTGAATTGGTGATTGGAAGCTCAGAGTTTGGAAAAGGGAAGATCTTTTCCAGCAGTGATTTGGAAGTTTGTAACAACTGATACCAGCCTGTCAGGGTTGGGGGGCTGTTCTAGAAGGGACCATAGTCCAGGGACGTGGAGGTAGATCACATTATGGCTTGGGCAGAAGGGCATGTTCCAGTTGTGTCCGCAGTATTCATTTCAGGGATAGGAATTGTAAACACCAAAAGTCCAGTGACATACCGGTACATCGCTGGATGGGAAGTGGTTAAATGCTGTGTCCGTGATGCTTCACTTCGCGGCCTTGGCACAGTTGATCAAACTTATGGTGATGCCACCTTCCAAAATCTACACATTCAAGTCTGAGGAAGCGGTTACAGTGCATTTATCAGCAAAAATGGGGTTAAAACAGGTGGCGAGGAGGCATCGAATTGCTTCGTTACTGCCTGTCAGTAGCCTCTGGAGCGCAAACTGAACGCAAATCGGGCTTCAGCAGGAAGGGATATGCAGACGCATGTCTAAATCTACCCTTACTAGGTTTTTTATTTTTACTAATTTTTACAATTTTTTTTTTTTTTTTTTAAGCGGAGCTTTGGCGAGACATTGGGGGTCTAAACAGTCCCTAATGTCTCTTTTTAGATGCAGAGAAAGGAACTGAAGACAGTCCCATTTTCTGTAACCTAGGCAGCACTGTATGGGATAGGAGTCTGTATAGAGACTCCATCCTAATGATTCACAAACTGACACATAAAAAGCACAGTTTACTATGTGTCAGGGATGAATGAACAGAGTGATCACAAATCTGTTCATTCTGGAAAGAAAAAGGGCTGGTAAACACATGTTTAAATTCCATGCTGATTGCGATCTGTCACTGACAGATCTCCAGAATCTCTCTGAGCCGCAGCTGGTGGGAAAGATGAAGGGAAAGCCAGCAAGAAGAGCTGGGGGGTGGTGCCAGAGATCGGTGAGTGAGGGAGGACGATGATGGGAGAGGTGCCAGCAGCGGCAGGGGGGGTGGGGGTGGTCATTAAAAAACTAAAAATTGAGTGCAATCGCCGGCAGGACTGGCAGTTGAGGGAAGCCGGCACTTGCATCAGATCCGTGGTGATCCGTTCTGGTGGGGGATGGGGGTGCAGGAGGGGCAGGAAGCAGCAGATGACAGAGAGGGGGCGGCGGTGGTATTGGGGTGGGTCATTTTAGGTGAATAGCTCTGATCAGCTGCTTGTTAGCCGCTAATCAGAACTATTGTTTTATACAGCAGAGTCTGCTAAACATTTTTGCAACACGTCCATGGTCAGTGAAGTGACCATGAGGTTATAACAGAGGAGGAATGTAGGTCCGTACGTTATACGGACCTGGCAGTGAAAGGGTTAAACTTTTTTGTGTTTCTTGTGGACCTTTCGGCAGTTCGGTGTTGCTATGTTTTTGCCCACCGCCCAGTTTTGTTGTTGGGTACTTCTAATGGTCCATGAATAAAAGTCCTGTACTGTATGCTTAAGATAAAAGAAATGTTGACTTGGCTGTAAATACTTAATCTTGGCGTACAGGCCATAGAAAATTATTGGGCAAAAATAGATATTGCTAACCCCACCAACATTACTGTTATGGAAATACTGTAGTTAAGTTTTTTTGTGATCCAAAAGAAAAGCTGGCATACCAATATTATAGGGGTTGTTCACAAAAAATGTATGAAAAAATGAGAGAGGTGGTTGGAGAGACCAGACCTGACACAACCCACCTTGATACTACAAAGGCTACAAAGATGCACATAATCCCATGGGACTAAGTTGCACATGGGGAGGGGAACAACACTCAGTGTAGTGTGCTAAAAAAATAGAAGCTTTTATTAAAATAGTAGCAGGTGCAGGCATCATCCTGGTATAATCACTGCAACCCGAGGACATCCTATTACGTCCTATGGGGGGGAAGTGGTTAAAGTATAACTTTTTAGTTTTGAACAGAGGGGAGGGATTAGAGCCCCTGTCAGTTTTTATTGCTGTCTGCTCCCTCATTAGGGAAATCAACCATCTTTGCCCTGTTTTACCATTATCATCAAAAGTGAAAGTAAATGAAACACCAACTTTTGGAATGTGCCCAGAAAAGTAAGAGGGGAAATTTTGTAATGGGGACACTAGTTCTTGTCCCGGGGTCCCCAAGGAATTCCCTTAATTTGCAAAGTTTTTCTCACTTCTTGTTTGCCTAGGGGACAGGAAGTAAAAGTAAATCTCCCCAATGGGACCCAGATGGCAAAAAGTAAACTGACAGAGGTTATAACCCTCCCTTACTCTATTCAGAATGGGGAAAAAAAACGTTTTGCCTATAGTTCTACTTTAAAGGCTGAGTTTTTCTATTTTTATATTGTGTAGAATTGAGCATAGGGTGCTGAAATACCCACATTTCTAAGGTGGGCAGGAGGAGTAAATCAAATATCACTTTTGGGTTTACTGATCCTTTAACCCCTACATTTTTACTAATAAGACATTTTTTTTTTTTATTGAAGATTGCAAAAAATAAACCAGGAACAATGTAGCATGTAATAACCCCTAAATTTGTTTCTCGACTGCTCCCAATCATCTTCCATATTATCTTAATTTCTATCTTCCTTTAGGAAATGGTGCGAGGTAATAGATATCGCACAATACACTGGTCATTTGTGGAGTCTCTTGAGCCTCCCAGAGTCGTGCAAGTCCGATGCACCGAAATGGTCTCAAAGGATAATCTTTACGGTCAGGTGACTGTTCGAATGCACAGCAAGCAGGTGAGTGACTCTGTGTAGGGTATCTGGTATATGTGTGAGAAACTCTTATGGGGGTGGAGGTTGTTTCAAACACATCAAAGATAGAATACATATTCTTTGTCACTGCATAGATTATGGAGGTAAGTAGCTAATTCTGGGCTCCTATCACATGCATGTAAAAAAAAATTGTATGAAATATAGATTTTGTTTGAATTATAGAATTTTATATATTTAGTGCTATTTAACATTTGGTAAAATAAAAATCTATATGCAGTATATCATTAAAAAAAAAAAAATGTTAAAGCTTACCTTTTTGTGATGCTTTATTTGGCCATCCAGTCAAGTACTTCTCTGAGAGCTTGGCAGCTGTATTAATGCTCTGTGTAAGCAGATGTTCATTATCAATTGTAACTAGACTTGACCACTGTCTCTCCTAACAGAGAGTTAAAGTTGTGGAGGCTGCAATGTATGTTACTGAGAACAGGCTTGGGACAGGCTCCCTCAGAAAACCTTGCAGTCAGCCATGACACCTCCTCCTTAGAAACCTCCAAAAGGTAGAAATATATGTTTTAAAAATCTTTTTTTTTTTTTTAGGCTTGCTTTGTGAATGGGACCACATATTAACCACTTGCCGCCTGCCCACCCACATTTTACTTCGAGTGGGCAGCTTGTACAGCACAATTAGCAGTGTGTTTCGAGTTCATGACCCTCCTCCCAGCCCGCTCCTGCTGTTATTGGATATGGCGGGGTTTTATCAACAGGTTTTAGTGAATGATTCATTGCGGAGTCCTGCTGATCGGCTGTGTCCATTCACAGCACAGTAAAGTTGTCCATACATGGATTGTGCTTCACCTATTTCCTGCTGAATCAGATGAAATTTGATCTGTTGGTGGCCCTGCCAGCCACCACCTGGCTTAAACTTAAATTTGAAAATTGAAGGAGCTGAGTGGAAAACTGTCTGCCCATCAGAAACCGCAGTTAGACAGTATTTTGTTAGGTGCTAGCTGTGTGAATACAAGAGCCAGCGGGGGAGAGTCATCCATCCGCACTATTTCGTGTAGATGGCAGATTGTGCTAGATGGGGGTAAGTGGATTTAAGTGACTTTGAACATGGCATGGTTGTTGGTGCCAAACGGGCTGGTCTGAGTATTTAAAAAACTGCTGATCAGCTGCGATTTTCACACACAACCATCTCTTTCAAAGTCTTAAATTCTCTTTCTTCCCCATTCTAATGCTCGGTTTGAACTTCAGCAAGGCGTCTTCACCACATCTAGATGCCTAAATGCATTGAGTTGCTGCCATGTGACTGGCTAATTAGCAATTTGTGTTACCAAGCAATTGAACAGGTGTACCTAATAAAGTGGCTGGTGAGTGTATATTATAGACACTGAAAATAATCATTCTGCTTTCTTTACTAACTGTTCCTTTGCTTGCATTCTGCTTTTGAAATTGTGATTATAGACCCTCATCATCTACGATCGGTTTGGCCGGGTTGAATGTGGAAAGGATAAGCCACGGGATGTGTTAGAGTATGTAGTTTTTGAACGTCACTTGGTGAACCCATATGGAGCATGGAGAATGCATGGCAAAATAGTTCCTGCCTGGGCACCATCCAAGGAGCCCATTGTTAAGGTAAGTAGTGGTCCTATGAGAGAGGCCACCATGTTATGTTTCGTGAGCGATTCATGAGCTAGTTCACTATGGCAGTGCAATAACAGTCATTTACCATGATTGAGCCATAATTGAACAAAAAATGAGACCATTTCTAAAACGGCTGCTCTTCATAAGGCGCATTGCATCTTTGCCCTTCGATTGAGGCTGCAAATGCATAAGAATCATAAGATCTTGGCTAGTCTAAAGACCATCAGCTTTAACTGCTTCCCTTCCACCCTATTGCAGAAATACTGCAAGAGGGCGGCACGGTGCGCAAAATCACGTGTGTGTGATATTTTGCATTCCTGGGTAGTGGGCACGCACGAGGCATGCGCACCCTACCCAAGCCACCATTCGCGGCCGCAGCTGTCAATCATCGGGTCCCGGCCAGTAATTGCTCGCACAGCCATGCAAAGCAGTGTGCTTACAGTGAAGCACACAGACTCGGCCCCTAGTAAAACAGCACACTGTTAACCCTTTGATCACCCCACACGTTAACTCCTTCCCCAGTGCCATTAGTACACTGTCAGTGCTTTTTATTAGCACTGATCACTGTATTGGTGTCACTGGGGATGTCAGTGACCGAGTCACGTTCCCCCAGTGTCAGAATGCCCGCCGCAGTCCCCGCTACAAATCGCTGATTGCCGCCACTACTAGTAAAAATTAAAAAAAACAAATCCCACTTTATATACTGCCATTTGTAAACGCTATAACTTTCACTTAAACCAATTACTATACATGTATTGGGATTTTTTTTTTTTTTTTAGATGCAGCAGAATACATTTTGGCTTAAATTTTGATGAAATTTTTGATTTAAAAAAAAAAAATGTTACTGGACATGTTTAATAGAAAAAAGTCAAAAATATTTTTTCCTCAAAATTGGCGCTTTTTTTTTTCTATGGCGCAAAAAAATAAGAAATGCACAGGCGATCAAATACCGCCGAAAGAAAGCTCAATTTGTGGGGAAAAAAAAACATAACTTTCATTTGGATGCAGCGTTGCATGACCGCACAATTGTCAGTTAAAGTAACGCAATTCCGTAACACAAAAAATGGCCTGGTCAGGAAGGGGGGGGGGGGGGTAAATCCTCTGGAGGGCAAGTGGTTAACCAGCATGTAAAAAGCATTAGGTTTTCATTTGGCTTGGGGGGTTTATTGTTTAATCTTATATCCTTTTTTTAACTGGTCTTTATTTTTTTATCTCTAGAAAGTCATCTTTTTAAAGCTAAAATCTATGCACATCTAAAAGACACAAATTATTGTGGCTCTGTAGTCATTAATACCTCATTAAAGCTGTATTCAAACCAAAACCAAAAATTTTAAATAGTGTAGCTCTCCAATCATTAGATGTGGTGGCTGCATTAGTTTCCTTTTTTAGGAGCTTTCCCTGTTTTCACCTGATGACCTGGCCAGTAACACATCTCCTTTATTAGCGTGTCCCCACTCTGGTTGAAGAAGCACAGGGGCAAAGCAGACAGCAGCATTGTTAATTAGGGAGGAGGGGAGTGTTGGATGCACTGGCACATTTAGATACACGAACAAATAATCAGGGAGGAGGAGAGTGTTAGATGCACTAACATTTTTAGATACACTAACAAATTGAAGACCAGCTCCAGCTCACTCTGCAGTTACAGCAACAGGTTTTTTCTTTATTTCTGAGATAAAGCATTTACATAAATAAAAGCTGATCATTGTAAGCACCTCCGTCAGTGGTAAATGATTTGTCTCAGCACATTAAATTTATAACTGAACTGTAAGAGTATGTTCTGTTGAAGAACAGACTCACTGGCCAGATCACCAGGTGAAAATAAAAGTAAGCCTAACAAGAAAACTAATGCAGCCACCACATCTAAGAATTAATAAGCTGCAATATGTTTGCTATTGGGATTATACCACTTTAAATGTATTAAAAAGTACAGAACACAAGAATCACTTCATAGACCATGGGTTATATGCCTCTACCTTTTAAGTGGTTGAACATTGGCAAAAGCTTTGCTGGGCTTACCCACTAATATCCCCATTTAACCCCATACATTCAGGGAAACTTAAGTTTTTTTTTATTGCTACTGTCCTTTGGTAATGGACAGATTCTTATTTTGGAGATTAATTTTCCTACTATACTTTCTCCAGATTTAATTACCTCCTTTGACTGACACGTCTATCAAGATCCTCTTGTTTCATGGCTCAGTAGCATTTTCAGGATTGGTGACCTTTTGAGCACACCTTGTAAACCATACCCTGCTTTCGTGGGGCTGGCCTGTAATGTTTACTTTGTTCACTGGTTCCACCTTGGCCCAGATCCTGAAGAACCCTCTGAGGGTATGTCTACTGTGATGGGTGGGCCCTGGACAGGATCACCAATTGGGACAAGGCAAGACAGGGTTTTCTTGCTCCCTTTTTATTACCAGTTCATGGCTTACCTGTCTTGATGGCTCTGTAGTAGACGGTACATCCTTATTCTTCAAGACATACTGCAATGCTATGCACACAGGTTTAAGGGGACTGGAGTTTTTGGTGTTTTTACCCTAACTGTATTGTATCACTATTTGGCCAAATGGGTAACGTTGCTAGAACATTTAATTATTCAAACTTGGCAACCCTTTTCCACCTCCCAGACAAAAAATCCTTTTCGGTTAGTGACTCCTGAACTCCATTTTCTATTGACAACAAGCATAGTGACTCCCACACAATGGAACCAGCTTACACCACGTCCATTCTGTCACCCTCTTAGCATTGGAGGATTGCAGGTGCTTGAGTGCAGTAACACATGACACAGACAGCTCTGCAGCAAGTCCAGAGGAAACTTCAAGCTTCTCAAGTCACTTCTAGTACCCTTGTTCTCACTGCTCCAACCCCATGACTTGAGCTCCCTTAGAGTCATGCTAGATGCAACCTAATTGTCTAAGACTGAATACACAGCCATCATGTTTGGCCTAATCCAGAAGCTATTGCCATTTCTGGAATTGGAGAGGGCCATCGACTACAAGGGCTCTTTTGCCTCGCTTTCCCCTGATTAAAGAATAAGTTCACCTTTTGACAAAAAAAATAATAAATGCAGGTAAAAAAAATGTGCATTTATTACTTTTGCTTGCAGGAGATCGCTGGTGCCATTCAGGTCTCCTGCAGACCTGTCCATATATATATGCTTGCCTGTAGGGGATGTACGACCAAGCAGATATACTGACAGTAAGATTCAATAAACTACCACAGCGCTGTAGTTTGAGAGCTACAAGGCGATAGCCTCTAAGGCTGTAGTTCAGGACTTGTAATTAATTCACAGAACTCTGTGAATGAATGGCATGGCCATGTGGACACGCTGATTTAAAAAACACCTATATCTTAACAGCGCTGCTCTTGACATATAACATAAACATACAACTACTAATC